TTAGAGTTTTATAGAAACTCTTTTCAAAGTTCTTTTTATATTAATTAATAAATATTATTTTATCTTAATAATGCTTGTCTAATTAGATTTTCTTCTATTAAAAAAACTCGTAATAAATAGATAAATAGGTAATTTGTGATATAGTTTTATAAAAACTCTTTCCACATTTAATAAATATTTTTTAAATAAATAAATAAATACTGAAACTTTAGATTTACTTTTATTAAAAAATTCATAATAATAAATAGATAAATAGGTTAATTTGAATTTTATTAGGTAGATTTTAGAGTTTTATTAAGTTTTTTTTTTCTTTTATTTATTTTTTTTTATAAAAACTCTTTTCATATCAATTAATAAATATTTTTTATATAAATAAATAAATACTGAAATACTGAAATTCTTTGCACATTTAATATTTTATTTTCTTTAAATATATCCTTGTCTAATTAAATTTAATTTTTTTAAGAAACTCATAATAAAAGTTAATTTGTGGTAGAGTTTTAGAAAAATTATTTTATATTATATATCAGTTAATAAGTATTTTTTATATTAATAATTCTTGTCTAATTTAATTTACTTTTATTAAAAAAATTCATAATAATAAATAGATAAATAGGTTAATTTAAATTTTATTAAATAGATTTGGAGTTTGATAGAGTTTTTTTTTTTTTTTTTAAAAAAAAAAAAAATACTTCTCATATCAATTAATAATTTTATTTTTTTATAAATAGATACTTATATACTGAAACTCTTTGCACATTTAATACTAGTATAGATAAAATCTTTTTTATATTAATTAATAAATATTTTTTTTATATAATTAAATAAATACTTAAACACTTTGGTAGAACTTCTGTATTTTACTCTGAAAATTAGATTTTCTTTTAATAAAAAATTATAATTTTTAAACACTTCTTACATGTTTTTTATATAATTAATTCTTATATAAAAATTATTTTCTTTTATATATCAATTAATAAATATTTTTTATATTCATAATTCTTGTCTAATTAGATTTATTTTATTAAAAAATTGATAATAATAAATAGATAAATAGGTTAATTTAAAATTTATTATGTAGATTTTAGTGTTTTATCATTTTATTTAATAAATATTTTTTAAAAATAAATAAATAGATACTGAAACTTTTTACACATCTAATAATAGTATAGATAAAAATTTTTTTATATCAATTAATAAATATTTTTTTATATAAATAAATAAATATTGAAATACTCAAACTCTTTAACAGAGTTTCTGTATTTTACCCTGGAATTCAATTATTTTTATATCAATTAATAAATATTTTTTTATATAAATAAATAAATACTAAAACTCTTTGGCAGAACTTCTGTATTTTACTCTGAAATTCTAAATTTCTAAAATTCTCAATTTCTGTACCCCTTCCTCCTTCCTCCTTCCTCCATGCCTTTATTTATAAGTTTCTTGGATGAATAGGATAATGACATGTATCCTTTTCGGATAATGACATAATCATAACTGGGCCGGACCAGTTATATTGTGATAATTATCCATAAAAAATAACTAACAATAAGAGTTTTATATAGAATATGATTGATTTTATTAGGTAATTTTTAGATTTTTATAAAAACTATAATTATCCATAAAAAAAAATTAAAAATAAAAGTTTTATATATAATGTGATTGGTTTTATTAAGTAAATTAGATTTTCTTTTATTAAAAAACTTGTAATAAATAAATAAATAGGTAATTGTGTTAGAGTTTAATATAAACTCTTTTAAAAACTCTTTTTATATCAATTAATAAATATTTTTTATTTTAATAATTCTTGTCTAATTAGATTTATTTTTAGTAAAAAAAACTCAAAATAAATAGTTAAATAGGTAATTTGTGTTTTAAAAACTCTTTAAAAACCTCATTTTGTATCAGTTAATAAATAATTTTTTATATTAATAATACTTGTCTAATTAGGTTTCCTTTTATTAAAAAACTCATGATAAATTGGTAATTTGTGTTAGAGTTTTATACAAATTCTTTAAATATATCTTTGTTGATAGCATTTTATTGATAATAAAATAGGTAATTTGTAATAAAGTTTTATTGAAATTATTTTATTTTTAAAAAATATATACTTGTCTAATAAGTTTTAATTTTATTAAGATACTCATAATAAAAGCTAATTTGTGGTAGAGTTTTATAAAAATTATTTTATTTTATATATCAATTAATAAATATTTTATATATTAATAAATCTTGTCTAATTAGATTTTCATTTATTAAAAAACTTGTAATAAATAAATAAATAGGTAATTGTGTTAAAGTTTAATATAAACTCTTTTAAAAACTCTTTTTATATCAATTAATAAATATTTTTTATTTTAATAATTCTTGTCTAATTAGATTTTCTTTTAGTAAAAAAAATTCAAAATAAATAGTTAAATAGGTAATTTGTGTTTTAAAAACTCTTTAAAAACCTCCTTTTGTATCAGTTAATAAATAATTTTTTATATTAATAATACTTGTCTAATTAGGTTTCCTTTTATTAAAAAACTCATGATAAATTGGTAATTTGTGTTAGAGTTTTATACAAACTTTTTAAATATATCTTTGTTGATAGAGTTTTATTGATAATAAAATAGGTAATTTGTAATAGAGTTTTATTGAAATTATTTTATTTTCTTTAAATATATACTTGTCTAATAAGTTTTAATTTTATTAAGATACTCATAATAAAAGCTAATTTGTGGTAGAGTTTTATAAAAATTATTTTATTTTATATATCAATTAATAAATATTTTTTATATTAATAAATCTTGTCTAATTAGATTTTCTTTTATTAAAAATGGATAATAATAAATAGATAAATAGGTTAATTTAAATTTTATTATGTAGATTTTACTGTTTTATAGATTTTTGTTTTTGTTTTAGTAAAAACTCTTTTCATATCATTTAACAAATATTTTTTTTTATATAAATAAATAATGAAACTCTTTACACATCTAATAATAATATAGATAAAATTCTTTTTATATTAATTAATAAATATTTTTTTATATAAATAAATAAATACTGAAAACTCTTGACAGAGCTTTTGTATTTTACTCTGAAATTCAACTCAATTAATAAATAAATAAATACTGAAACTCTTTAGCAGAGCTTCTGTATTTTACTCTGAAATTCTGGATTTCTAGAATTATCAATTTCTGTACCCCTTCCTCCTTCCTCCTTCCTCCTTCCTCCATGTCTCTATTTATAGGCTTCTTAGATGAATAGGATGATGACACGTGTCCTTTTATGATAATGACATAATCATAATTGGGCCGGGCCGGGCCGGTTATATTGTGATAATTATCTATAAAAAATAACTAAAAATAAAAGTTTTATATAGAATGTGATTGATTTTATTAGGTAATTTTTAGAGTTTTATAGAAACTATAATTATCCATAAAAAATAACTAAAAATAAGAGTTTTATATAGAATGTGATTGATTTTATTAGGTAATTTTTAAAGTTTTATAGAAACTTCTTTTACAAAAACTATTTTTATATGCATTAATAAATATTTTTTTATATAAATAAATAAATACTGAAATACTGAAACACTGAAACACTTTGCACATTTAATAATAGTATAGATATAGATATACATGTAAGGCTGTCATATTGTCTAGCACCATAATCTGCAATATATACTTCGTTTTCTATATGTATATCTCATTCTTCTTGTATGGGTTTGATTGTATGAATTGCTTAACTTTTTTTAAAAAATAATAATAATAATTAAAAAAAATTATCATTGATTGGTATAATATGGGTTATTAGAGATGATTGCAATATAGACTAATATGGTTAGTTAAAATTTGTACACAGATGATTGTGCCGGTAACGAGTGGACCATGGGATGCCCTATATATTCGGAGGAGGCAATTTATCGGCAATTGTTGTTGGAGCCATTGCAGCCGCAGTAAGCGGTAAGCGTGCTTCCATCTCCGCCACCATCTTGATAATCTGTCAAGAAAAATATTTAATAGTCTGATTCGGTTGCTCTTTCACTTATGCTCAACTGCCAAATGTTTTCAAGAACTTCATTAAAATGCATGTTCGAGATGTGGAGTCTAGTTTCTGTCACGCCTCCTCTGATATCAAATCAGTCTAAAATCTACTAAGAAATTATTCAATAAACTAAGTGTGTTTGATAAATGCAATTTAATTAACACTTACACAAGCATATATATATATATATATATAGTTTAGAATTATAACTTAAAATTCAAGTATTGAAAAAATAAAATTTAACTCTTGAAATTGTTAGTATTTAATTTTTGCACTTAAATCGTCTTCATCCTCGATCACCACCACAAAGTTGACCATCGTGAATGGCATGACAAAAGAATGTGTATGTTAAGATATGTGATAAAGATAGGGGAATTTAGCAAAAAGAAAAAGATAGTGAAACCAAGGAATGAAAAAATAAAAAAATAAAAAATTGATTCTTTCCGTCTGACAATAATAGAATATTTCTCTTATTTTGCTTAAAATTCGGAAGTTTATAAATTCACACCTTCGAGTTTCACTAGTTATCCATGTCTATCTTCAAATCGTTGCTTTAAGTGTATATTTCTTCGCAATAGAACCCGTTCTAATTGGTACGTACGTTCTCATTTTACTCATCTTTTGATGAGAGACTTGAAATGTTTATTGGTTTTTTTATAGTGTTGCTAGAATAATATATATAGTCCACCATATGTAATGATTGTTAACATTTGCATGCACAAAGAGGATGAAAGTTTTGACCTTTTTTTTTTCTACCCTGTTCTTCTTGTTTTATTTATTATTTGACTCCTGTGATTGATTTGAAATTCGATTCAGTTCTACTAATATTTAACACAAAGTATTAGGAGTATTAATTACTTTTTTTTTACTTTTTATTAACATACTATCCAATAACATATTATACTAATTAATTAAATTAATGTATCATGCATGCACTTGATCTCCTACTATATATATAGGCCAGGATGAGGTTGAAGGTAGTTGCTGAAACAGGAGACATCAATGCCTTTTATTCTTTGTTTCGACAATGTAAAGATATCAATGCCTTGTATTCATCTCAAAAGTCCTCACAGTCAGACCACGACGACAAACAATTTCGACTTGCTGATACTCCTCTACACGTAGCTGCATCAATGGGGCATACGCATTTCGCAGTTGAAATGATTAGGTTGATGCCATCATTTGGTAGAAAGCTAAATCCAGATGGCTTCAGCCCTTTGCATCTAGCACTGCGAAATGGGCATGCCGAGACAGTGATAAGGCTCATAAATATTGACAGCGACCTCATCCGTGTCCAAGGCAAGGAGGGAATCACTCCTTTACATTACGTAGCCGAAAAAAACGATTTCAGTCTTTTGGCTGAATTTCTATGCGCTTGTCCAGCATCCGTTCAAGATTTGAATGTCCGAGGCGAGACCGCCGTGTTGCGGTCAGAAACCGCAGTTTGGAAGCTTTTCGAGTCCTTTTCAAATGGGCTAATAAGGTCGATGATGAACTGGTGCTAAAATGGAAGACGAGGATGGAAACACAGCGTTGCACGTTGCAGCGTACACTAACCAACTTGAGGCATGCATTCTAGCTAGCCCCCTCGATCCCTCTCTCTCTCAATTATATATAATTTGTAAAATGAAATTAACTAATTTATATTATATTTGATCAGGTTGTGAAAATGTTGCTCAACATTGTGGGTAGAGAAGTAAATGAGAAGAATATGCTTGGTTTGACGGCTCATGATTTAAGTAGCGATGGAGAGATCAGAAAAATGTTAGCGAGAGCTTCAAGGTCCTGCAATCCTAATTCAACTACTGATCTGGCAACATTTATAACAACCAAAGGGCTCCCTAATTTATGTAATATTAAAAGATTGAAGTCTAACGATATTCGAAACACTGTACTAGTGGTAGCTACTCTTGTTGCAACAGCCACCTACCAAGTTTCAGTGACACCCCCCACTGGAATATTCATGGCCGACGGCGGCAAGAAATTAACTGTGTCCGAAATTTATTACTATATAGTCTTTTGTTTATTAACTCCACAGCATTTGCAGCCTCAACTGAGCTTATTTTTCTCACCCTCGAAATTGGCCTACACTTTTTGGTGCTCCGACTATCCCTTTTTTCCCTTATCTTGAGCTATATACTCACTGTGCTCTCCACAACACCGAAAACTCCGGCTGCTTATGTTACAGTCCCGTTTCCATTCCTTGCATATATTGTGAGCACATATGTTAACTGTCGTGAGATGATCATCTTCACCAGGATGCCCATTGGCAGGTACAACCCTTCTCACTACTTCCAGCTGCGACACAAATTATTGGTGGCTGGGATGCCATATACTCACTCCGATGCTTTATCTTCCACCAAATCCTAAATTTTAATTTTCTTTCTGGTTAATTAATTAATTGTTGTAATTTTTTCTTTTTACTGGCTTGTTTTGTTTGAGAGTGGGTGTTAATTGTTGTAATTCGATCTCACTGTAGTCTTTGTCGGGGAAGATTCCAACTCTCCAACTTTTACTATAGAAACAGAGGAGATGGAAAAGCCTTGGTGGTGTGTTTATGTAATTGTTAATTTGCAATTAAACAATTTGTTAGTGTGCTTGATATATTCTAATTACAACTCGTGTGTGTGTATATACTTTTCTTTTCTTGCTTGAACTATATATATATATATATATATATATATATATATATATATATATATATCATGTATATACTCATTATCAAATTGCGGACGTCCAACTCAAATTAAGCGCAGCACAATTTATTCTTTTTGGTTGCCTCAACTAATTTGGGTAATTATGCTAATTTAAATCCTTGTTCTTTTCTTTTTCAGTTTTCCTATTTCGGGTAAATCAATATGAAATGACCATAGTATACGTGATTATTTAAGGTCCCGAACAATAAATGGAGACTTAGGTACAGTGATATGCGAATTTGAGATATGATAATATTGATGCATGTAAATGGAATTAAATCAATTATTAAATTGTAAGTTTAATCTTATAAATTGTTCACCACAGAAGACTAAAGGTTTAGTATAAAAGGAGATTGTAAGATCCTTTGAATTGCTGGAAAAATATATTATCAGCATGCTATGTTTCTGATTCTGATGAAATAAATGATTAAATTAAGGTTTTAAATAACTTATAAGTTATTCATGTGATTTAATAACATAAAATTATATGTTATTTGTTGTTATGATATGATATGATTTTAATCAATTGCATATATGTATTTTATGATCTTGAACATGATATATGTGTGTGTGTGTTTGGGTTATTTGAGAACCATTATTAGGGTGTGATTCTATGTCATGTCATTGTCAGGATATGGATGACATGTCATTGTTAGGATATGGCTATTATATATTTTATATATTTTTCCAACCTATTGTTAGGATATGGGTATGGTTACTGTTTGGATACTATTGTTAGAATATGATTAAATGTATCTTTAATGATATTATGTGTAATATGATACAAGCTTAAGGTCTTGTGATCAATGGTTAGGATAAAGGCGTATATTGCCAGTTCAGATAGGTAACTGGATTTAGGGATGTGTGTGCCCCGGTAGAAGGAGAACTCGTGACCACCTTTGTGTGCGATTTGCATGAGATACTCACTATAACACGGTTGAGTCTGCCTTAGTCCAGTGAGAGTCTTTAGTGTGTATACTTATATGTATGGACTATGTAGCTATTGCATGAGATAGCTATAAATGTGTAGTTTCTTTAGGTCTCCGTTTGGGTTGTCGTAGAAAGGAGTTGTTGTAGGTTTTGACCCACCATTGTTATATTTTTCAGGTCCTCGTCAGTAGCAGGATTATCAGTTGTTCGTGCAAACCAGAGACTTGGCATCATCACTTTTCCAGTGTCATCGACGTATGATTTTACCTTCTGAATACTATTTAAGTTTATTGGACATTTATTTATTATCAGTTATGGGATTTTATTAGGGGTCCATATTTAAAGATTCCCAAATTGTATTCTTTTGGAGAAATTATTCTATGGAGATTTTTTTTTTTTTTTTCTATCCTCGAGGATTAATGGATTTTATTTAGAGGAGATTATTTATTTATTTATTTATTGGTTTCCATTCAGCATTATTTTTTTCTTTATTTATTTATCTTTTTGTATTCTGCATTCGATTTAAAATATTAATTGTTTGATATCGCCCTCAGTCTCGTGCGCGGACTTAATCAACCTGTGTTCCGGAATCGAGGGGTATCACACACTATTCCTGACTTGAGAAATAATGTGGTGTGAAGGGGATGACTGGTTCTGAATGCCCTTGCATTCCTTTCCATCCAGATAAAATAGATAGCTGCTGACCATGGAAGTTTATGAACCAGAAAATCTGATAAACTCCAATGTATTGAACACCATTGAACCAAATCCGACCAACAATTAGGTAGTATGTAAAATCCAACCAACTCTTGGATAAACTTCCATATGTGAGCAATGAACTTACATTTAAAGAATAAATGGTCAATGGATTCCCAATCTAAGTGACAAAGATAAAAACAGCTAGTACAGTGCTTGTGAAACATTGGTTTGGCATCAAGAGTGTACAATCTACCCCTAACAGCTAACCATATGTGATACCCCTCGATTCTAAAGCCACGGGTGATCAAGTCCAAACACAGATCTGAGGGACATCAAACAATTAATATATAATTAAGCACGGAATACAAATCGAATTAATAAGAAATAAATAATAAAGCAGAAAAGAATTCAAATTAAAAATCCTCAAAATAAAACTGTTAAAATCCATTAATCCAAAACCTCCAAAGTAACTCCATTAATTAACAATTCGAGAATCCTTCAAGTGGACCCCTAATAAAATCCCAAACTAGAAAGGAAAAAACTGTAATCAAAATCCAAAGCTAAATAAATAAGTAGTCCTACGTAGTCGGAGGAATGAATGTCTGTATCTGCTCTGCACGACCAAGTTCTAACCCTGCATCTGACGAGCACCTGAAAATAAGAGAGTGGGTTAGGCCCACATGCAAGTCCTATCCTACTACGATCCATACAGAAACCTGATACGCAGATACATTTTAGATAACTCAACAATATTTAGAGTAGTCTATATATGTATATTTACACACTATAGGACGCTCACTAGTCCAATAAGTCTGTCTCAGCCTGAGTAGAGATACTATGCAAATCGCACATAATGTGGTCATGTGTACCTAGACCTACCAGGGAATAACACCTATGTCCAGTTATCCATCCCAGGTGATATACGCATCCTAACCATGGTCCTGAGACTCAAGCTCATACCATGGCACCATAATGATATATATATATAGAGTCCATATACTCCTAATACAAAATATCATCCATCTGGTATAGTGGCTTGATATATGTATAACAATCCATCTAGAAACCAAAGTAGGTCATTCAATTCTTTATTGATAGGACACAAATATGAGTAGGACTTAACCTTCGAGATTAATCCATACCTCACTCTAGATTAGGTAGGACTTAATGTTTGAATTAATCCTTACCTAGTATGCCACGGTCCCATACCGGTGCATACAATCCTCTAGCCAACATAGTTGACAAAACAGTAATAAACATTCATCAACCATACTCCAAAATAAGCATAAGTATAGTGTAATACCCCTAATTTTAAAAGGATAGTCTCGGCATTTATTTATTATTTTTATTGTATTTTTGCGTGATTATTTGGTTTAATTATTTTTATTTATTAATTTTATTTAATTGTTTACCTATGTGACATGTATTTAATTGGCATTTATTGTTTAAGTGTTTTAATTGTTTAATTATGAATTTTATTTTCATTAATTGTTTCTTATTTTCTTTAATTGGGTTGTGTATTTAATTATATGTGTATTTTCTGTAATTGGATTAGTTGGTCATTCTAATGTGTAAATTGGTTTATTTAAATATTTTAATTAAATTAAATTATAGATTAAATTAGTATCAGTTACTGTATTAAAATAAATTACTAACTGGTCTAATTTTAAACAGTAGGGTTCCCTAAGAGGTTACGCATATGTAGCCGAGTATCTTATAACCTAGATTGCTATATGGGCCGACTGACTAGAGTTTTACATTAGGGCTCTGGCTTTAATTAAATAAAGCTTAGGGTTTAGGATTTTTACGCCTATTTATACATAGTTGTATCTGTATTAAGGGTTGGAAAACCCCTACTCACGTAACATAGAGACAGAGAGTTACAGAGTGAGGCTTTGAGAGAGCAGAGTAAGTTTGTGAGGTTTCCAACCGAGGCTTCAAGATTTGGCTTAGGAAAAGGGAAGAACAGAAGTAATAGGAGGCTAGACAGCGTTGCAGTGGTTGCCGGAAGTTAGGACGACGGCGACAAGTTTTGAGTCTAAAACTACAGGCAAGTTCTTCCCTTCCTTCTTCCATCTGGCTTGTGTTCTGTGCACCTAGATAATCTCTAGGGTTTAATTAATTATTAAATCAGAACTTAAATGCTTACCATATAAAATATTGATGATCTCTACGTGTTAAAATAAATTCTGTTAAATGTTTGCAAGTCTTGTTTCAGTTCTCTGTTTAAGCATGTTTTGTTGTTAGCAATTTTAGTTTCTGTAATTATTTTTAACCTCTGTAAATAAATCATGGGAATGATTATGGGGTGTTATAGGACTCTAGAGATCAGTAGTGAAGAGGAACATAGGGGTTGGACTAGAATTGTTATTGCAAAATAGTTGCAGATTTGTTCCTAACGCGTGTTAGTTCCGTAGCCAATTTAACCTCTGTAATTGATTCTAATGGTTGTTATCAAACCTTTGGGATGCTCATGGGTGTTAATAAGATGCTTAAAATCTATTTTAGAAACCAACAGAGTGGTAGGAATTGATCAGAGAAGGAGCAGATGGACTGAAACGAAGCAGCGAGGACAGAGGCTATCAAAAGAGGTGAGAGCCGGCTCCATGGATGTGGGAGCCGGCTCCCACAACAAGTAGAGCCGGCTCTAAGGACTCCTAGAGCTGGCTCTAGGCTGAAAGAGCCTGCTCCCAAAATTTGGAGCAGGCTCCCTTTGCAATATACGATTAATTTTTATTTATTTTTTTAGTTTTTAAGGCACTGTTTGGTATTCTGGACACTGTTTGAGCCTTGGGATGATTCTAATGGATTGTGGGGACTTTTCAGAGGATTTAATTACTTTATTCTAAGTGTGATTAAACTAGTTGATGCATGGTTTAAGTCTCTAAGATAAAGGATAAAACAGTATAAAAGTGTATGACTTAGTGCACTGTTATCGGATGGGACGAAATAAATTGTTTAGGTTAATTTAGCAATTTGTTGGACTATAATGGGATTATAGAATTTGTTCTAAATGCATGATAGAGTCATTGATATATTGGATTGGGTCTATGCATGCTTTGGATGCTAGTTGTGTAAACTATTAAATTGTTTCTCGCAATTACATGGTTTAATTCTGGGATTTAAATTGCTGAAATCTTAAATACTTTTCTGCAATTATTTGGATGGTGGTTTTGGACTGTAAATTACTTGTTCATTATGTATACATTGTAATTTACCTGGATATGGAGGATTGTATGCACCGGTATGGGATGGTGACATACTGGTGACGGTTTAGCTCCAAACACCTAAACCTAACCTAACGAATTTAAGGAATGGATTTATAAATGTTGAATCCTAATTTTGGTTAAGACATGTCAATTACAACTAAGTTGAGTGGCTTCTTGGATTAATGGATGGAGGTTAAGTCACATCAACTGAATAAGTTGAGTGACTAACCAGTTGGTTTGTTGTATGTCAGTTTATTAAATATTTGAACTACATACCCTGGATTTGGATGGATGTTATATATATGTTTATGGTACCACGAGCTGAGCTTGAGTCTCAGACTCGTTGGTTAGGGTGCGTATATGCGGTGGATGCGTAGCTGGTTATAATAGGTTGAGGTGTACCCTGTTAGGTCTAGGTACTCATGCCCACCTTTGGGTGCGTATTCGCATGTTGCCTTCTATTCAGGTTGAGACCCCTATTATAGACTAGTGAATGTCCCTTAGTGTGGATATATTTATACGTATGGATTAGATAGATATTGTGAGGTGTCTACGGTGTATCTGCATATCGGGTCATTGTATGGATTGCAGTTAGATTAGAACTTGCTCGTGGGTCTGACTCACTCCTTTATTATTCTTTTCAGGTACAGGATGGTTCTAGCCTTAGAGCTTGATTGTGCTTGTCAAGGACAGTCTCACATTCATCTGATTACGTAGGATTTTCTCGATGTTTCTAGCATTTTCTATTTTAAATTTTCAGTTTCAGTTGAACTTTTGGTTAGGGGTCCACCAGTGGATTCCCAAGTTGTAACCTTGAAGTTTTGGGAGGATTGGAGTTTTATTATTTCAGTTATGCATGGAGGGTTTTGTAATTAATGTTTCTTTCAGTTTTGTTCCATTTTTATTATTTTATTTTGTCATCTGTGTTCGCTTTAAAATACTTTAATTGTTTGATATTCCCTCGGGTTTGGGCCTGGGCCTGATCAACCCTTGTCTCGGATCCGAGGGGTATCACATACAGTCTAACATGTGTATGACCAAATTATGCATCCAATATAGGATTTAGAAATCATATTCCAGTCCTTCAAATTGATAGAGTAAGGCTAAGAAATTAACTCCTCCAAACAGTACCATAACTGATGCAATATAGAATAGCTTTAAACATCAGTTAATCACATCTAAGCATACATATTTTTTTTTTAGATAAACAACTATATGCTTATAACACAACTGAGACATGATTAACAATTTTTAGATCATGCAGAGAAACCAAATTGCTAACACAGTAGGCAATATAAGTTAATTATCCAACCTTCCACATACAGGTTCATTGTTTAACCTTATGTTATTTCAGTCATCAATATCT